ATACAAATCTGTTTCAAATATCTGGATGTGATTTGTAATTGCCAGTACACAATCCAATTATTGGCCTTGGTAGCACATTCAAATTCACTAAACTATTCAATAGGGTTTTCATCCTTGGTATCAAAGAAACTCTTGATACAGGCATGATTATTTTCCTTGGGGCCTGTTTTAGTTTCCAAAATAGTTTTAGAAAACATTTCCATGAATTCTTAAATTGATCAGTATTCATTTTATAAAAATATTTTTATAAATTTTTAAGTTTTTGAGTTAGAAGTTCAGAATTTCAGTCACCACCAATTGTTACGGGTAATTCATACAATTGATAATAAATATACCTTTTATGTTATATGGCAACTCACCAGAGGCATGACATTGGTGATTTGGTAAGGATAATTCATGTGAACGATTTAGAGTTATGAAGAGAGTTTATTAAATATAATATATATTGAATATTAGAATCCCATAGAATGTCTTTACCTGAGAGATTTTACCAGGCCTTTTATAAGTTTTTAAAGTTATACGGCTTAGTATTCTTCTATCCTTAAGGGTTTAATACTCTGTGCTTTGACACTATATTCAACTAACATTTCTTGTTTTCTATCATTATTACCAGAATATTCTATTAATATTCCGCTAAGCCTTTAACAACATGATTAACTAGTTAACCCATTTTTTTCTCATAGCCATTTATTCTTCTCAAGTCACAATGTTGCTGTGCTAAATTTTCTAGATCCCATAGGGTTAGGGTTAGGGTTATGAATTTTTTTTTTACATATTAACCAAAAAACAAAGTTAATAGGCTAATAGAGTATAAAATTCTGAGTATTTAAACACCCAAAAAGATGTATAAATTTCTATATATAAGACTTATATAAGGCTTTATATAAACTTAATAGTCTTATATGTGCTAGGGTTAGGGTTAGGGTTATCCCACCCTTTACCCGTGACAATGTACATTTATGAGGAGTATATAATAATGAAAGATTTCAACTAGCCAATCAGAGCAAGAAAAATATACATATGATTCATTCAACCCTCTAGATATATGTTCTTAAAATTGGAAATAGATGTGCATTTAGAGGGCGTAAATTCTATATTTTATTGGCCAAATTTTTAATATTATCAGATGCATGCATTTATAGAGAGTATACGATATATGTATGGTCTCAAAATTTATGTACGTGCAGAGAGTAGAGGGTGTGCACTTAGCTCTAAGTCCCGAGCTTGGGACCAGGCTAGAGTTTGCATTTAGGAAGGGAATGCACCTATAGAGGGTGTACTTAGGGAGGTTTGACTATTCGTGATTTTTATTGGCCAATAATATATCATTCCAGGGATTTTCCACCGGAACCACTGGGAATACTAGAAATGTCTGGACGTCCAGTGAAGTTCCGATTTCCAGTTAACAATATTGGAGTCATGTATATTTCAACATCACATGTACACATACAGTGTTGTTCCGGACACCTGCCCATGGACATAGACACACGTCCATGGACATGTGGACATAGGCAGTCCATGGACATGGACATTGGACATTCTATTGTCTCTCTATGTCCATGGACGGTCCACATTTATGTCCACGTTCGGAACAACACTGTACACATATGTATATCAATATAATCTTTATAATAAGTTGTAAAGGATTAAGTATGGTACCATAAGCGTTAACTTTCGGAATAAGGATTGGAATCAGTTAGTCGACTAATTAGTTGACTAGATGCGGTAGTTAATTAGATTAATTTTTTAGTAGACTAACTGATTCCAATCCTTATCTCGGAGAAACTTTCTTCCAAAATATCCAGTTCGTTATAAAAAAAAGTTGGTGTAATTCAGAAGAAAATTTGAATTTGAATTAGAGTGGACTGAAATATTCGATGTGCATATATGTCATAACCAGTGTTGGCTTGACCAGACCAGTTTGACCACTGGACCAGACCAATTTGACCAATTTGACCGGTCTGGTCAAAGGATCTGTACTGGTCAAATTGGTCAAATAGTATATTTAAATATACTGTAATTTATTATACAATATATATATTATATTTATATAATAGATTGTGACCAATTTGCCCAGTTCGACCATTTGACCAGACCAATTTGACCAGTAAATTTTTGGTTGACCACTAATTTGCCCAACACTGGTCATAACGTTCATATTTTGCGTATCATACATGTGCACATATATTTCACAGTACACAAGTGAATATTTTCGCAAAACTTTTCTTTAAAAAAAAGTGAAACCGGTCCTCAGTTGATCATATAACGAACTGAATATTCGGGGAAAGGTTTTTCCGATTACCGTATTGATTTATACCTTTACAGCTTGTTAGAAAGATATTTATTTCACAAAATTAGCTATATATATTGATAGCATATGTGCACATGTGATATCGAAAAATACATGGCTTATATGCACATATGTGCACATCTCCACTCTAATCTAAATATGGCAAATATAGGTATATAAATCTGGATAGATGACATGTGAAGATAGTTGACCAATCAAATACACGGATTTGCACTTCATATCGATATAATTGTACACTTTCATTCTCAAAGGTAACACAATACGTCATGATAATCTTCATATATGTGTGAATCGTATAACTAATTGACGACAATATTAATATACAGCCAGACCTCTCTAAATGCATTGCATCGGGACCATAGTAAAAATTAGAATAAACATGCATTTAGAGAGGTAATGCATTTAGGAGGTAAAAATCTATAAGTGTTGTATTAGTTGGGCCCAAAAAAAGATGTGTATTTAGGGAGGTTTTTCATAGATATGCATTTAGGAAGGTCTGACTGTATTGTAGTAGAGAGAAAATATAGGATAGATAATTAATTGAAATTAAATAAAAGGGATAAAAAAAGGTATGATAGCGGGATAAAAAAGATTGAAATAATACAGTAAAAGTTAAATGGATGAACCAGAAGTCATTTGAGTGCAAAGAGAAAATGAGCTGCGGGTTTTATTAATTACCAGTTAGCTTACAAAAAAAAAAAAAAGATGTATATGGCATATTGTTACGTAATAATTATGTATATCTAATATCAGGTTTTTAAAGAGCCAAATCCGGTAAATAATAAACGATAAAATTGAAATCCCGAAGCCCTCCTTATGATAGTTCTCACTTTAAATAATATAGGTGCTATTAATATATATGTCGCGGCTTAAGCTGGAAATTTTCAAAAATTTTTGGGGCCTTAGGGTTTAGGGGTAGTTTTAATAATAAAAGAGTATAAGTGGATTTTGGTAAGGTTTATATTTTTAAATCAGGTCCCGCGACAATATATTTTAGTTCGAAATTTTCCTAGATAAGACTAATTTAGAATAGTGATCGTACCCGGATAACTCTTTATCCGAAAGGGTATACCCTTTAATAAAATCCAATAACTGGTTTTATATCCTATTGAAGTAAAAGGATAACGGTTATGCCCTAGGTTATATCCGGACATCATGTGATTAGCTGATCTACGTAGATTATTGGCCAATCAATTATAGGATTAAAAATTTTAACTAAACATCGGATATTTTTTATCTTAATCATAATCCATATAAAAAATTTATTACATTTCCATCATGTCTCCTTATTTTCTGTAAAAACCCGTGAATCTGCAACATATATGCAACATACATGGTAGACCGATTATTTAAAGGTATCAGTATAAAACAGACGATTAATTTGCAGACAAGTTCACTCGTAAACAGTATATTTCACTAACAGTACATTTCATAGACAAAGTATTTTTTAGTCAATGCCGCTAGATTAGGTTTGCTAAGGTTAGCGCAATTTAAAAAATAATTTATCGGTGAAATGAGCTATCAGCAAATACTGTCTGTTTATGAAATGAACTTGTAGTTAATTTGTTATACAACATATTATTGTGATTATACTTTACTTTATATTACCCTAGGTTATCTTTTAAGTTAACCGGATAACCTAATTGTGTAGCCTGTAGTCAATTTTATGGTTCGGTTATCCGGATAACCTAACAGTTAGCCGGTTACAATACCTTAGTATTAGGGTACGATTACTAATTTAGAAAACCTTTTTGGAAATGGTGTTACATATTAAAAGAGCCCCATTTTGACAATTTTTCAAATTTTTTTGTTTGATTTTTGAATAGATATATATTCAATAAAAAGTTTGCTGTAAATTACAAAAGCTAACTATATAATAAAATATATATCACAAAACGAACTTGTAGAAAATTTTATGTGCTACTATTTGTAAATCGTCATTTAAAATTCGATTTACGGTTGTACTGTTTTAATACGTAACACCCCATACAACTTTTGTATCCAAAAACTAAGCTTTCACAAAATTAACAAATTGTCATTCTAAAGCATTATTTAATTAACTGATAAGTAGATCAATTATGCGTTTAGACTAAAATTTTTGCTCACTAATCAGGATCACTAAAATTCGAACTTTCTTTTTTTCGGAGTCTAAAATAAGTGATCTTCGCTACTGTTAATCGAAGTTAATCAAAATTCTAACTCTGGCTGTTTCTTTTTTAGGAGTTTAAAATGAATTAACGTCAATGATCAGCATATGTTAGGCCATTTCTTTTTGGGAATTTAAATAAGTGGACGATCGATAAATGAAAAAGATCGACAGATGAATTCCAAACGTCATAGTGCATAATTTGTGACAATTAGCAATAATAGTTATTCGTCGCTTTGCCAATTTGATTACACATAATTATTTATTTATATGGTATTCTAAACGTCATAGTGCATAAATTATGTTACAGAGATAGAAAAACCCAAATTAACTAAAAAATAACTAGCGCTAGATAATGCGTAGTATTAAGTGTTTGGAGCTAATTATAACTAATTAATAATCATGCAATCAACCAGTTTGCATCACGAAAGCGAACAGATATAATTGTTTCAGACTTAGAGCTTGTACCCGTATAAGAGCCCGGGTAACTAACATCTTTCAACCGGGTCATAGTTATCACTAACCGGATAATTATCCACAAACATGATGATGCGCATTAATTGGATTGAAACAGGTAGAAGACCTTTCCATGCCGTCCTAAATCCGGGAGACGTCTGCATTCACCCCTGCAATAACAATGATAAAAAGGTTGCTTTAATGATACCTGAAGATCAGTGCAAACAGCAAAATATTAAGGATAATATGTAATGTTATTGTATAAGTTGGAAAGATACTACTGCATTAACTATGTCAAAATAAGCAATTAAATAAGACTATTCTATCTTACCCAATTAAGAATATGTGAGAAGAAATTGTCCTTATGCAATTTTCTTTGGTGTTATACAATTACAATTACTAAGATACAAGGCTTAAAACTTATAAAATTTACAAGAATTAAAAAATATACTTTTGATTTTGTATTAACCAATCAAACAAACCAGGTTATCCAGATTATTATTAGAATAGTGACAAATATTATATAATATTTTTTATTATACTCTCTCTTTCTTTTCTACTCATATAAAAAAATTTAATTGGCTATTATAAATTTTTATATCTAATATACAAAAATACCATTCCTAATGGATTGTCGGTACTGTTTCTAATGGGATAAAAAAAATGATTTATACACCTATTGCTAGCTTGTCAAGATTGTCTATTCTTTTTTCTTTTAAAACCTTTTCCACCTAGATCTGGGCAGAAAATTTATCTCTTATTTTTATCCAAGAAAAGAAAAAACAATAAATCTATATTTACAAAAGAAAAAAATTTAGAACAAGTTAAAGAAAAAAGAACTAAAAAAAGAGAGAAAAGGAAAAAAAAACACAAAACAGAAAACCCCTAAATATAATTTGGTTATAAAAGAACTAAGATGGTAAAAACTATTGTTACAAAATAGGTTGTAACACAGTATAACAGAAGCATAAAATAGTTAGTTTATATTCAAGTATCTGTATTATTATTATTATTTTTTTTTTAAGTGATCCTGCCTTTATTCATATGAACTGTTATATAATTTTTACACCCATGTGTACAAAATTCTTACAACTTATTGCTCT